TTAGCACCATGGTATTGTTAGCAGTGTGGTTCTGTTAGCACCATGGTTTTGTTAGCAGTGTGGTTCTGTTAGCACCATGGTACTGTTAGCAGTGTGGTTCTGTTAGCACCATGGTACAGTTAGCAGTGAGGTTCTGTTAGTACCATGGTACTGTTAGCAGTGTGGTTTTGTTAGTACCATGGTACTGTTAGCAGTGTGGTTCTGTTAGCACCATGGTATTGTTAGCAGTGCGGTTCTGTTAGTACCATGGTACTGTTAGCAGTGTGGTTCTGTTAGCAGCATGATGATAGTAACGACCGCGGCAACGGACGATGACTGCCTTCCAGAACCGTGTCCAGCAGACACAGAACAGCCAGTTTCCCCGCGGAACCTAAATGCTCCGTGCAGGCAGATGGAGGATCATGGAGACGGCCGCCATGACAGGCTGAAGCCTGAGCCCGAGACTGGAAGTGGACCGGGAACTGAACCACGATGACAGGATGGAAAGGCAGCGACACAGTGCATTGCGGTCATACCCGTAGCGTGGGTGTGCAGTGTAGGAACCAAATAATTTAAAACAAAAACAACAGGAACAAAAAAGAGCGAGTCAAAGCGGAGCTCCCATCAATGCTGCCACGCTGCAGCGCATGTGACGGCACATGTAAGGGAATGCATATCACCCGCAGCCTTTCATGCCAGCGTTTTAGACTTAGAAATAAAAACTAAAGTCAATAATGCTGGACGTCACTCTCAGATATGAGTGTTGTGAAGGACTCTGACTGCCACACCAAATTTAAGCTCAAGCTGAGTTACAGCCATATTTTGTTTTTTTTACAGGTCAATTAGTTGTGGCAGCCATTTTGAATTGAATTAACAAAGACAGATGTCACAAAATAAAGAGTTAAAGTTTACTCTGTAGGATTAGAAACACAGTCTACAGATTATTATAAGAAATATGAGACAAAACTGGACTGAAAGTAAAAAGTTAGCCTGACTAAGTTTCCCGTTTTTGAAAATGTGACTTCAGAGATTGGTGGGGGGGGGGGGGGGGGGGGGGGATTCACTGAGCCAAAATTTCTGCCAAAACTTTAAGTTCCTAAGTCTTCACAATGATAAGAATATAATATATACAATATAAATAATATTATAGGATAGGAACATGCTTTTGCATCAGTTATAATAAACGATGGTTCCTCTCTGGCTCTGGTGGCAGATGGATTCTGGGTCTTTGCCTTCCGGAGCCGTTCTCTTCTCTGCACTTCAGCCATGTCCAGATACGCTGCCAGCCACGAATGTGACGGCACTTTACGATTCCCTGGCAAACACCACCCGGACATGGAGGGGAGTGAGCGAGGAAAGGAAGGAAGACTTTCACACACAAAAAAAGAAAAATTGCCGTTCCTTCAATCTGCTGAAAGATTTTTCAATCTGAGACAGCAGTCACGTTGGGGAAGATCGTGTGTGAATCAAACGAGTTCCCTCAGCAAATATAATTTATTTCTAGGTCAGTTCAATTACACGTTTCAGTGAGAACATCCAAGTGTAATCATTACAAATATGAGAGTGTCAGGACAGTTTCAAACCCAGGACATAATGAGACAAATGAGGACAAAAAGCATTATTAGGTCGGTGAGCGCTCCCGTTCTTAAACTGTAGATTCCTGCAGATAGTCTACGGGGCTCCAGAGGACAATGAAGACTCCATTAAAACTCAGAATCCCTCTCACTCTGTCTCCTTGTCCATCTCATTATATCTGCATCTGCAAATGCCCTTCAGAGGACTCTAAATGGATGCCTCTGGCAGGAGAAGCCTGCATTTATTTCTGTAGTAAGTGTACTCTGAGGTCAAACCCCTGAGTGAACCGAACAAAAACACCTTTGACAAGCAGGTATATGGAGGCCAGGCAACAAGGCGGTGTGTGTGTCCCTTCTTATTTTAGTCAGAGAAACACTTTTAGACCATGGGTGGCCCCCTGACTTCTTTGGATCTACTTCTGCCTGCCTTCCTTCCTCCCACACACAAACACACACAGATGTTGATGCCGGCGGGAGGGAATCAAACAAACCTGGCACCTACGACTGTTTCCAGGGCTAGCCAGCTCTGCGGTGTAGGTTTCCCAGCAGAGCTTGGCTGGTCCTGCAGAATGAGCTTAGTGTTGTCCTCACAGTTTAATTGGTCGCAAGCATCGAGGACATAGATCTACTGTAACAGCCGTTAAGTTTCTCTGACTGCAGACCTCATAGGTGGGAAAAAAAAGCATATTTAGGAATGTGCTGGGATTGGACATGCAACTTTGATTGAGCAAATATCGTTATTTATTTAATTTTGCTGTTGCTTAACAGGAAAAAAAAAAGAAAAAGCCTAAAACAATGCAAAATATGCAACCAAATTCAAAAACAAAAGAAACAAGCGGTACGCCGAAGTCCCATCGCTGAGGGATTTAAATAGTGAACGTTTGGTGGAAGATATTCAAGTGGGTAAACTGGTTACACGGTCTAGAAAATAGATGAGGTCGTTGTTTTTCTTTCTTTTTCTTATCCAAGGCAGAGCAGAGCGATGGATCCTGGTGAGTGGAGGGAGCTTATTTTATCCACCACCAGGTGGAATGGCAGAACCAGGGGGTGGCCAATGGTGACCTTAGCCACCAAAGAATAATCTTTGTCCAACCCAATCATTAAGAAAAACTAGAAAGCATACGTACACACCCACAATGGTATATATATATATATATATATATATATATATGGAGGTGACATCTTGG